TATGAAAATAAATATACAGTATAACCCATTATTTCAAGACTGTTGCTAACGCACAGTCATGCATTGACCAAATAACATTATTTCAAACTAAGCATTCGTAACTGACTAACTGCATATCTGCAGTGAAAGAAGGCAATGAAACAGTTGCCAGAACATTATTTGTACTTAATTCAAATGGCATCTTTCTCTCTATGCAACCGTTGTTTGCACATTCTTAAAAGTAGCATTGTGTGGAAAGTGCAGCAATCATCTAAAAAACATCGGACGGCCACTTAATAGATGAAAACGCATGTTTTATCTGAAGGAAAATAACTTACTGCTTTGGAATCAGTTGGCTTAGCATACAACCACTGGGGAGACAGAGGGATGTTATCAGGTACTGCTTGATCTACAAACAATTGTCAAACATGGAAGAAGATAAGCATATTGCTATGGAACAGATTGTTAGACAAACCAAAAAGACTAGTAGTGTTATATACTTATCGCGACAATCTAAAACAAGAGAGAAAACAGCAGTCAAAGACAATAAAATATGTAAAGTGTTACCCTTTGACACATCAAGGAATCCCATCAATGACTTGTCTTCAAAGTTACCTGGAAGTCAATAAAAACTAAATAAAATGCATCCCAACAGTAAGTAGACACTGAAATTACCACACAACATGAAGAAGGTGACTAAAAATCCAAACGAACAATAAAGACAATTTGCCAACAACTTTCTAATCACAAGTAACCATATCAAAAAGCCTAGTCGATTAACAGATGAGGCAAGAGCGCCCTAGAGTACCAGGGTTATCATTCAAGAAGGTAAAAATCTCATGAAATATCATAGCAAAAAAAGCCATGAAATTACTTCAAGAGAGGCGGAATTTCTCTACAAGTAACCAAAATTAAACCTTTCCATACTCAAGATTTCGACCACATTAGAAGAAAGAAAACAAAATCAGATGAACCAATTCCAGGCGGTGCCTGATCTGAAACCCTATAAATCAAGTCCTCATTGACTAAAGTCTAGTGGAAAGCCACGCCACTACGAGATCAAAGATCTCCGGCAATTCGAAACCGAATCTAACTATGCCGAAACCCAGATTAGCAAAAGAAAATTAGGTAAATCAGTGGGGAGTCAAATCAAAGAAAACCTTTAGAGTTCAGAGTCTGATCGGAGGGATTGGATGCGAGATCTTCGGGTAGATCAATCTTGCCTTGAGCCATCGGGTTGTAGGGAAGTCAAGAACGGCTAGAGAGATGAAACTGAATCGGACAACGGCTCGGAAAGAGCCCGAGAATTGGACCGGTGAGCAAGAGAGTTGCGGGATTGGCGAAATATAGAGATGAAGGAGCGCGAGGGAGTGAGAGAAAGAGAGGGGATTTTAGGGTTGACACAAAGCTCTGGAGAGGATACAGATGAGAGAGAGATGAGGAGAGTGTGTGAGAGAGGGATGGGGGGAGGGAGAGGATGCGTGAGGGTAAGGGCGACCAACTCAAATATCCAAAAAAGACCCAATGACCGAACCGATCCCGATATTTCCCGAAAAAATCGAGAATACCGAATCGAAAAATACTAAACCGATAAAGTACCGAAAAGAAACTGAATCGTACCGAACCGAATGGTCGATCCGGTATTTGGGAATGGTACGAGGTTACTTCCCATACCGAAATTCCCGAACCGAACATATATACTAATATATTATAAAAATAATAATCTTTTTATATTTCTTCATTAAATAAAAAATTTATATAGACAATTTAGTTTAATTTCACTATGTTTAAGTTGCACTTTAGTAAGAGTTTTTTATTTTTTGTAGATGAGTATAAGAATATTAAAAAATATTTGAAATAATACTTTATTATCACTCGTTCTCCTTAGTATGTGAAATATAAACTAACTTTTATAAGCATTACTTGTATTTTATTTTTTCATTTTTAATTTTTTTATTATCTTTTTTTGGTTAAATGTACTTTTAATTTCCCAAAAATAAAAGGTTTTGTTACATTTTATGATGTAAACTAAGTACGTATATATTCATCTCGATTTGTACCGAAACCGATACCGAACCATACCGAACCATACCGAACCGATGCTTCGGGAACGAGATCGGTACAGCGTAAAATCCCATACCAAACCGAAATATTTGGTACGGTATCGGTACGAGCGAAATACCGTACTATACCGTACCATGCTCACCCCTACCTATTGTACTGCCACATCCATTAATTTTAGTGTTTAACTCCAATTTTAAAAACTAGTACTGTCTCCGTCTCAAAAAGATTTACACCTTTCAAAAAATTGCGTCCTACAATCTTCTACCCATTTCTATTAAAAAACCAATTTTACCCCTTACTTTTTCAAACCCTACCTATCACATCATACATTTTTTTCTAATAATCTACACATCACATCCTACTTTTACTCATCACATCAATGCTATTTTTGGAAAGTCAACACAAAATAATCTATCTCTTAATTTCAACTCTAGTCATGTAAATCTTTTTGGGACGGAGGTAGTATCTTTTTTTACACTTTTACTTCCTTATTCATAAAATCTTCTTGTTTTACCTTTTTTAGTTAAACTATAACATTTTTATCATTAATAGTAAAAACTTATCTATAATTGAAATATTAATACAGTATTATTAAATGCATCTTAAGATATAATTTTGTTATTTAACTTTTTGAAGTAAGAACTCATTAAATATGAAAACCCAAAGCAGTAGTTTTTGGTTTATGATGTTTGAGTTGTAACACCCCGGCCCCCACCATGACCGTAAGTGTTTGCTCATATAATTGTAGACTGGTGGCCCCACAAACCAACACAAGTCTTTCCCGCGCACTTTGTCATCACTCGTGTGCCCCATGGGGTCACCCATCCTAATATTGCTCCATTTCAAGCACGCTCAACTTTGGAGTTTCTAGCTGTTGAGCTCTCGAAAAGAAGATGCACCTTGTTGGTATGAGTAGTACTGTCAATCCTTTTGAGCTCTTCCCATTCCCATCTTGATACAGGGTATTACATGAGCGAAGAGAGAATATCATTTTTTAGAAAAACATTAAATTAGAGATGATCATTTTGAAAAATTAGTATTAGTTTTAAGTTAAACATTTGAATGTATGCTTTTTTTGCAAAAATTTCTAGTGGTTATCGCTATTATTTGGATGTATAGTATCATACATTCTATTATTTCCTTATTTTGGCACATCCATGAGAGATCTAACGAGCTAGCTCTCAAAATTTGAAAAGTTTGAAGGACAATACTTCTGATGAAGGCAAAAGAAGACACTCTTCGTTCAGAGTACATTAAATGTTGTTTAACTTACGTGTTGACCTTTTGATGATCGGAGTCATAGAGGATGAGCCAATCGAATAGATAAAAAACAGTGCAAGTAAGAGAACGATGACTACATCTAATGTGGTCGCCTCAATGGTATGTCTGACTATTTCTTCCATGTCTCTCAAAATATCAAATCTGCGAGGTACTGTAGGACACATTTGAGAAAAAATATATGAATGAGGATGTTTTTAGCATTAAATTCCATGTCATGGATACTAACTAGCGCGAGAGGGAGATCATTGTGGGCCAACCGGTGTGGGAAAAATGGTGGATGGCCGCCTTATAGCGGGAATGATTCTGAATGGGGGAACAACGCGCAAAAAGGCTATCATTCCTGATGGGTGTATTCCACCCACGACCGGTCAAAGGAGAAGACCAATTAGTTGACCGGTCAATCTCGAAAGTCTTGAAAGGGAGACTTAAATCGTCAGCAAATCGATATGTAATCGGGCAAAAGATGACCGGTGTACTTCACGAAAAAGTATACCGGTCAAACTACGTTGTCACCCTATTTATTCCCAGACTTCGATGAATTCATCACTCGGAGATTACCCGGTGTAGTTTCTAGGGTTGGAAAGTACCGGCAGAAGAGAATCTAAGAGGGCTTAGCGTGTAGCGACCCATATCAGTAGAGGACAACGGGAGATGCTGAAGAATCCATCCAAGGCACTACTCGACAAAGGGAATAATCCCCCTCACAAGGCGACAAGGCAGCTCAAAGACGAAACCAGTCACCTCGCACCACATCAGCAGCATGCCCCACGTGGGCGCACGTGGTCTTGTCCCCCTTAGCCTAGTATAAATACTCATGTAAACCTTAGAAAGAGGGATCCGAATTCATTCTCTTTAAACTCCTTTGTGAAAGCACCCGTGCATTCTCCGTTATAATATAAATTGGGCAACAGTTGTTCCACCTAAAGTCCTACTGGTCAATTTGCGTGTTTTACCTTTCTTACTTTACCAAATCAAACAAACTATTCTAGACCCGGTCTAGTATAGTTTGACCGGTCAAGTAATTTACACCATCAATTCCAATCAAACAACTTTATTTCCAAAAGACAAGGTCGCGAGTTTGAGACATGTATTGAAATTGCTAGTCAGTTCATTTGCTGCAATGACAAACAAGAGATTGTATTTCTTCATGATGCATTATTTGTAGAGACGTTCATATTTAAGGAAGCCATCACTGGAGTGCGTGCACGAGGAAATCATAAAGGTGAGTTTTTCTCACTCTTAAACTATACTTTCTTCTCATCATATATGGGTGTAGTGTTTTTGTTTTGCTAATTTATATTCTTTTTTGATTTGTAAATGTTTCTTTTATTCGTCCTAGTTAAAATGTGATTGCTCATACTTTGAAATAACTTATAGTTTAATGGGCTAATGATATGGTTCAATGTACATTATAATACACTTGTCATTAAAAATGTTTCATAATGAAGAATAAATACAACCTTTTTAAAAACAAACATATTTCAGAATGCATAGTACATTGTTTTAGAAAAAATAAATAATATGTTAAATAAGCTTCAGAAAGAACACTAGGATAGAAAACAAATTCTCTTGATTCAAATCGAACATTCACCTGACTTATCTAATTCTACTACCTAGATAGAGCCCGGGGAATGGTATCCATTTTCTCATTGATGGGAACCTTATTTATGGTAAAAAAAAGTCCCAAAACTTTCTTAAATAATCAAAGATTATTACTCCATATCTAAAATAGCACATTTAGAACAAAAACATGCTGATAATAAAAAAAAATGAGATTATATAGAAAGCTTCCTGACATCACATTATTCACAAATCAAAGAGGAGAGTGTTTTTTCTTCATCTTCTTCCTTCTCATCTTATCACACATGAAAGCTTTTTCCAGGTGCTCCACCCGCTGTGTTAGGGCGTCAAGCATTAACATCTGCGTTTCATTCCTCTCAGACAACTGTGTCATCAAACTCATCATCTTCCCGTTCTCCTCCATTATCCTCTCCAGTATTTCTCTGCTTTTCTTGTCTTCATCTCTCTCCTTGCCAGTCTCTGTCGCATCTGGCTGTATACCTTCTTCACGAGTCCCCAGGTTCGTGGCCTCAGGAACACATCCTCCGGCCAATTGCCCTTCGTTTGATTCATCATTCTCAAAATCAGGTTTCTCTTCAGTAACAGGGGAATTTTCTTCTACAGGAATGTCTCCGGATTCATCTGCCACATGAAATTGAGCAGAATTGTCAGATTGATCAGAAGCGTTTCCAGTTGGCAGCTCATTCTCAGACGAATCGCTGGTGCGTGTGGTTCGATCTATGGATTCGGATATCTGAGAATCGGGAGAGTCGCACACCATAAGAGCTTCGTTGTTTCCATCGCCATCCTCATCGGCACCATCAGTTAGGGTTCGAGGGTTGGAGATAACAATGGCGTCGATCCTCTCCTGTAACGCGATGGCCTTTCTGGTCACAGACTTCCTGCAATCCCTAATTCCAGAATAGATCCCGCGAACGGAATCCAGTTTGAAGAGGAGAGACATTAGCATCTCGTTCAAGCGGATCCTCTCCCTCTCGTCCTTCCTCAGCAGCTCCACCGTCTCCCGCTGCGAAACCTTCCGATCGATCTCCTCCACCTCCCGCCGGACGGAAATAATCCGATTCATGCTCCTCCGCACCAGAAACCCCCGGAGGACCTTCTGGATCTCCAGCGCGGAAGCGGATCGGGCGGACTCCGAGGGCTCCGATCCGACGAATCGGACGGGGATCTGAACGACCTTCGGCCTCTGATGAACCTCGTGGATGGGATGCTTCGGCGCGACCTCCAACGGCTTGTGCTGGACGTCGTGGATGGGGTAGCTGTTCGCCGGCGGCGGGTAGTCGTGGTGGAAGAAGTTTCCGAATGGGGCGTATGATGATCTCACCATTGTTGTAATCTCTTTGCGTTTCAGTTGTTCTGAATCTCGCCGGGGATTGCCAGTTTTGGGGAGATATATAGAAAGGGGAAGAAGAAGAGGGAAATTCGAAGAGGTTTCTAGAAGCTGCTGGAGATCATTCTAAAAGCGTTCTAGAATATTGTAGATAGAGAATTCGGTATTGGGCCATCGTTCAAATGCATGGGTTGGGCCTGAAACTCCAAACATGAAGATTAGACCAATTTACAAAATTTTTTTTAAAATACGGAGTATTATGCTTTTAAGATTTTATATTTAGAATTTTGTATTCAATTGAAGTTAAGAGAAATAATTTATCAAATTCCAAGAGTTATTTTGAAAATTAAAAAATATTTTATAGTTCTAAGATCTGCAATCATTTTATGTATTTTAGTATATAAACATCATAAATGAATTGAGTTTTTTGAAAATAATAAACTTTTATTTTGCTTCTATGTCTTTGTTGATAATTTGATAAAGTAAAATAATTTTGTCACTCACTATTTTGTAGAATTTTTTTGTAAATTTTATATACACTCCGTATGATTTTTATTTTTTATTTCTATATTAATAATTAATAAAACTATTTCAAAAGTCACGAAACTTTGAATTTTGATCGAAGATTGTAATTTACTTAGGACGGAGAGAGTAAATAAGAAAATTTGTTTCTTATTCCAAACAAGCACTTGGGCCGAGCACGCCTATTGGGCTCAAAACATCCAAGGATTCTCACCCATGATTTTCTTTCTCCTTTGAGCCGCCTAAGTTGGGCTTCATATCATCTTCATCTACATTCTCCGGTTCAATATATCCACCCCCGCCCCAATTGAAATTTAAAAATAAATTTATATGTTCAAAATTAATTAGAAAATTCAACAAAACAGGATGTAAATAAATCCATTCTACCATTTCTCCAACAATTTGAAAACTGTATAAATTTAAAAAATGTAATAACACAACATCTAAATTAATTTTTCTTGGAGTTTTTAATCATGAAAGCGGGGTTACCATCAAATAACCCTTCAATCAAAGTCTCAATATCCTCGGATTGGTACTTTATATACCTATCGACATGCTTAGACCCATCAAGATGATGTTTAAACTTCCCCAGAAAGGAGCGGTACGCCGGAATGATGACGCCGGAGACCGAAACTCGAAGCTCCGACTGTAGCTGCTCGTCGTTTACCACCCAGCTGCTCTGCGTTTTGTGAATTTCTTCCATGGCGTTGCTGAAGTTCTTGAACCTCTCCTTCAATGCCTCCTTGTTCACCTTCCCTCCGTTTTGCACTAGCCCATCGTGCTTTAGAATTTGCAGCACCTAAGAATATTTGAAAATTGACAAATGCATGTTGTTTTAGGTTGAATTTCGTTCGCCTGATTTGATTTTTTGAAAATCTAGTTCGATAAGATTTGATCTCTTGAAATTATATTTGCTTTCCGTACTCATGATCTGATTAGATCTGATCTGATTTTTAAAAGGGCTGATCAGATCTAATTCGATTGGATCAGATCTGATCTAATCTCATTGGATCTGATATGATTTTAATAAGAATAACTAATAGATTGAAAAAATAAATTATACGGAACAGAGCCTTAAAATTGCTTCTGATCTGATGTAGTCGTAATAAGTATAAGCAATAAACATAAAAAATAAAATGAAAGGAAATATTCTTAGAGAGTATTTGCAAAACTTGATTTTAATGCCAAACGTATCATTAGATATGGAATGTAGGGCTAAACGCACCTTTCCCCATGTTTCTCTTTGGTAGTTCTTATGGAATTGCCGGACATCAGTAGACCGCCTCCGGTATACGGCGTCGCCGATAGCTTCGCGTATCTCCGGCGAGCCTTTGATTTTCTGCAATATGTATCGGCCGTTGTTCATGTGGAATATGAGCCGGAGGGAAGTGTCCTTGTACACATTCGATTTGGCTTCCAGATTCGCGTCTAAAAGCTCCATCGTGTTCCGCAGCTGAGCCGAAAACGGCGAAATTTCGCCTCCGTCGGAATTCGCGTGCTTTCTGAATATTTGCTCGAGTGCGGGCATGAAATCGCACGCATTTATCAGGTAATTCATCACGTAACGGGTGAGCGGGTGAACAGCGCCGCCCGGTACCTGGTCCCGGGCGGTGTCATTTTTGATGGATGCATCAAAGTCGGAGAAGATTTTGACAGATGCCTCTCCGATCCGGTCCCCGGCGGCGAGAATCTCGGACGTGATCTCGTGCTCGGACTCGTCCGAGCATCCGTCCCGAATTGCCGGGATTAGGTCCCGTACCGTTTCGTACATTTCAAGGAATTTGAACAAGTGTTCTGGAGAACGCTTTGTCTAGGCTACCACGTCAGCAAAGTCTAGAAGCTGAATGACCACGGCTCGAGCCAAGTTGTTGAATAGGCTCCTAGAGATCATGGGATGGTCCGAGAAGACGGCTTCTCCTAGCCGTCTTTCTCCTATGAATAGGACCTGAGAGCAACTTTTTGTCGCTCTCAACCATTTCGTGATCTCATCTTCTAGCGAATCCGAATCCATCTTTTCTATATCGCTCGAGTTATGATTTTTCTCGAATCCTAATTTTTTCAACTCCTTTGCAAAAGTGTTACGACGACAAATCGAGTACACCTGGCAACATTCAGTCTCGTACCCGCCCGAGATCATGACCGTAGCCATTCGGTTCATTCTGGTCACGACCTCTGGAGGGTACGGCTCATAAGGATTGTCCCTTTCTCCTCTGGCCCCGCTTTCATGGTCATTTCCGAAATCTTCTAACAAGATTCGTAACTCTTCTTCCATAAACGTCATGGCCCGTTGCAAGACCATGTCCGCCGAGGAAGACGACGACGACGGTGACGACTGCACAACATCATCGGTTGAATGCTTGTTCCTAGCAATGTTGTCGTTCTGGTCACGGGTCGGTACGACAAATTTCGATACCCGTGTGAGGGCCTCGTAGAAGAACGAATCGTCTTCCGTCATTTTACCGATCTTGGCCCTAGTGTCGCCGGACGACAAATTTCCATCGTCGTACTTTGCGATCCTAGACTCGATAATTTTGATGAAATGGTGGACGGTGTCGGGAACTTCATCGCCGCCATTGTCGTTGTGTTCTTGATCCAAAATGTCGTTAGTTTCATATTCATCGGAGTTTTTTTCCATCTGAGCATAGAAATTGGAAATAAGGTGGAAAGAAAGTTGATAGAATTATTTGTGAATAATGGAAGTTTGGCAGTTGACCCGATTGAGAAGCTAAGGTGAATAATTTACTCTTTATTTAATTTTTGTGGTCACATAAACGTTAAAATAAATACGGAGTAAACCATAGTAATTTTTGACCAAAGTTATTTTGAGATGTGCTTAGAGAGATCAATGTATATACGGTGGGGCTCTAGTGACACCGGAGTACGGTGACACTCCGGTGCCACTGTCATTTTGGAATACTTTCGTTGCTCCGTTCGTAAAATTGATGGTTCAAATTCCCACTTAACTCCTCATCCCAACTCCGCCCCTGCACCCTACCCCAATCCCGCCGTAAGCTCCCTCCACAAAATGTGTGGCTATTATGCATTTGTACGTAGGAGGCTTATGGCGGGGTTGCAATATGGGTGCAGAGCCGGGGGTAGGATGGTAGGTTTAGGGGTGGATAAGGGGGGTAAAAGCCGTTAATTTTACGAACAGAGTACCGAAAGTTTCCCAAAATGACAGTGGCACTGTTAATATTACCAAAAATGGGTGTCACTAGTACCGCACCGATGTATATATAAGTGGACCTATAAAGTAAAAACCAACTTTAATAATTAAAACAACGAGTATCACAAGGAACAAAAAATTATACTCCATAGCTTATTATGATACACGTACAAAGTACTGTCTCTAGTACACATAGAAACGAACGAATAATAAATTAAATACGGAGTAGTAAATTTTTAAGCAGCACAGACGACGGCGATCGGCGGTTGCTCACCGGCGTGGCGGCCGAGATGAGCTCTTACAAGATCATCAAAACTGGGGTGTGCCGGAGGAAGAGGCGGTGGCGGGGCAGTGAGAGTATCCGTGCATTTCTCTTCTTGGCTATTCTCGCTGGTCACCGCCACCGCCGCCTTTTCTACTCCGGCGACGGGGTTGTTGGAGGAAAACGAGCGGAGTTCTTGGTCGGAGGTTCCCGGAGGCGACTCCACGTTTATGACGTGATCAGCGGCCGCGGCGGCGCAACCCTTTTTCTCGTCAACCACCTCAGCTGGCATCTTCTTGTTTTTGTAGATCCCGTACAATACCATCTGTAGCATTCCTAGTACGAATCCCAATACGTTTGGTATCTGGAAAGTTCAAATCCGTATGAGAGTAGAGAAAAATTCTCGAACTACTAAGTAACACTTAATAATGTCTATAAAATCCAGTGACGGTGAATATTTACTCGAATAGTGATTAATGAATAATGATTAAAAGTGCTACTTTGAGAAAATCACCTGTGATGGGATGTTATTTAGGGAAAAGTCATTTTGTTTTAGTGCTATTTAAAACGCCTATACTTACAGCAATGCACATGTCCTTCAAGAGTAAGCCATAGCCGAACCACATGACAGCGGTCAAGGTGAGGAAGAAGGACAGGTTGAATGGCATGAACTCAACGCTTTTTGTTTTCACCACTTGAAACTGATCCATGCAATAATAATAATAATAATAATACTAATAATAAAAATTACTCATGAAAAAAACTCATATATACTCCCTCCGTCCCAAAAAGTTTGTTACGTTTAGAAAAAACTGCGTCCCGTAAAGTCCGTTACATTTCTATTAAAAAACCACTTTTACCCCTTACTTTTTCATACCCTACCTATCACATCATACTTTTTTTCTAATAATCTACCCATCACAACCTACTTTTACCCATCACATCAAGGGTATGTTTGGAAAGTCAATATCAAAATATCCCTCCCTTAATTTCTCAAAAAGTCAAACCGTCCCATTCTTTTTGGGACGAAAGGAGTTATTTTTTCTCATAAGAAATCAGAAAGAACAAGAGAAATTAAAAAAAAAGGAAAAAATAATATACACACATACCAATATAGTGAGTGGAGCGGCGAAAACACAGACGGAGAAGGCAACACAAATCCAGCCAACAACGCTGGCACGAAGGGTGCCTTTGAAAGGAAACATTGTGCCCAACAAAATCACACTATACAGTCCTCCCACCAACAGAAACAACATCTTCACCGTTTGACGCTGCAAGTTAATTAACAAATCGCGTTTTATTTAAGCATGCATGCATGCATGCATGCGATAACTATTGCTTTTTTTTATATATTATATCGGTATCACGAATGCCAGTATTTGGAACAACGTTTTCGATTACGGAAATTTGCTTGTACAGTACTCGTACTAAAACGTACGAGTAGTAGTTAATTACTACCTTGACGTTTTTGGAAGCGTAGGCGAGGAAGATGGAGATGTAAATGGTTTCGATGACGCAGCCAATGGAGTTGATGGAGATGAGGAGAGGGGCGTTCTTCTTGAGGAAGGCGTAGTACATCCACAGCATTGCCGAGAAGAGGGAGACGATGTACGGCACGGACTGGTACCCCATTGTTGATTTTGCTCTGTGGATCCGAATGAACGTGGGCCTGCCCTTTGCCCCAACAACAACAACAACAGCCACACTTCATTACATTACATTATTGATTAATTACTTTACCTTTATATAACAATCACATGCTTTAGTTATTAATCTCTTTAATTCCCACCACTTAAAATATCTCAACTTTCCTCTTTTGGTCAATTCTAAATAAAGCTCCTTTTTCTTTTTTCTCCTTTTTCTACTAAAACAGTTTTTATTTTGACTAGTGAGAGAAATATGGAGTGTATATTATTTTTTTAAAATCGAAGAAAAAATAGAGAAATTTCATTTAAATAACTTGTTATATCAATGCAAAATAAATGAAGTATATTCTAACGAATTGAATTGAATGTATAATAGTCATTTTTTGGTTAAAGTGGAAGTGTTTTATTGAAAACAAAAAACCGAAAGAGGAATTGTTTTGAAAAACGGAGGGGGAGTAGGTAGTAAACATATTTTCTTACTTTTTCTACTATGTGGTTTTTAATACTCCCTCCGTCCGAAAATATTCTTCATGTGTTGACTTGGCACACTTATTAAGAAGTAGTTAAAAAGTATTAAATTTTCAAAAATGCACATATTATAAACTTTTTAACCTCCTTTTTTATTATAAAATAAAAAAATAGATTAGTGATAAAATAAAAGAGTATTATTAAAATTTGTACATAAAAACTATACTGAACAAGGAAATGAGAAGAATATTTTTCGGACGGGCCAAAAAAGAAAGTGAGAAGAACATTTTCGAAGGGAGGGAATACTGAGTATTATTACACGCACAATTTTATTTTCATAGTTTACGTGCCACTTCTAATGTTCCAAAAAATAGCGAGATGACAAAGTAAGTATATATTTTAAAAAGATAATTACCTAAATAAGACTAAAACATAATGACTTTTCTAATATATGACAATATGTTTTTATTTACCAATGTAGGACCTTTGGTCATTATCAAATAGTCATTATTCAAGTAAATGTACATCATTAATGGGCATTATTCCTCCATCTAGATATTATTAAGTTCTATTTAGGAAATAAAAATATTAGGTCTTACATTGGGAAATGATTTATGTTTTAATCCTATTTAGTGAAATTTTACTATTTCAAATAGGGGAATTTACTTAAATAGCACTAAAACATAATGACTTTCCCATCACAGGACATTATGGACATTATTAAGTGCTATTTAGGGAATAAAACAATTTAAGTGGTATTTAGGAAAATGAAATTTGCACTAAATAGGACTAAAACATAATGACTTTCCTAATATAGGATTTAAACTTTTTTATTCCCTAAATAGGACTTAATAATGACCTAGTAAGAGGAATAATGTCCAGTAATGATGGACATTTACTTGAATAATGACTACTTCATAATGACCAAAGGTCCTACATTAGGAAATAAAAACATATGGTCCTATATTGGGAAAGTCATTATGTTTTAGTCCTATTTAGGTAAATTTCTCTTTAGGGAAATGACTTAAGCTTTAGTGCTATTTAATGCAAATATTTCTTTTAAATACTCCCTCCATTTGCAAAAAGACTTTCCATTTTGATTTGGGGCAAAAATAAGAAAGTGTTAAATTATAATCTCTCCGTTCCACAAAACCCTTCCTCTTTCATTTTTTTTGCTTTCCACAAAACACTTCCACTTTCCATTAAAAACCCACTTTTACTCATACTTTTTCATACCCTACCTATCACATCATACTTTTTCACTAATAACCAAACTATCACATCTTACTTTTTCCCATCACATTAGGGGCAAAATTGGAAAGTCAACCAAAATTTCGCTTTCCTTATTTTTCCCCAAAGTCAAACCGGAAGGGTTTTGTGGAACGGAGGGAGTAGTTGATTTCCAATTTTGCCCCTGATGTGATGGGTAAAAGTAAGATGTGATAGATAGATTATTAGAGAAAAAGTATGATGTGATAGGTAGGGTATGAAAAAGTAAGGGTAAAAGTAGTTTTTTAATAGAAAAGGGGAGTGTTTTGTTGGAAGTAAAAAAATGAAAGATAAAGTGTTTTTGAGAACGGATGAAGTATCTTTCATTTTTTCTCTGAAATGCTACCTCCAAGTATTTGTGTTCAAATTTTTTTCAACCCAACTAATAGATCTTTGATTATCAACTAAATAAAAATAACATTGCATACATACTCATATAAAAACAATTTTATTAGATTTATCATTCAAATGTAATCTTTATAAAATATTAGCTACTCTGTATATGAGTTCATTGACCAAAATTTGCATAACTTGACCCAAAAAAATAAAATTAGACAAATACGTTGAGGGACATCAAGTTCGTCGGTAACTCCGTAGGCAAATTTTTGCATGGACATAAGGTCTATAGTGTCTATGGTAGATCTTTATACTCTTTCTGTTCTCAAAAACATTCCCCTTTCATTTTGTCCACTTTCAATAAAACACTTTCACTTTATATTAAAAAACCATTTTTACAATTACTTTTTTCATACCATACTTATCAAATCATATTTTCTCTCTCAAATAATCTATCAATCACGTATTATTTTTACTCATCACATCAAGGGCAAAATTGAGAGCCAACTATAATTTATTAATACATTCTTATTTTTATACTTGGTCAAACTAGGAATCTTTTTTTAGAAAGGAGGGAGTATATGCAAAGTAAGCATTTACTAAGTGTTGAGATATGCATTTTTTAAAATAAGAAAAAAAAATAATAAGAAAATTTATTTGAAGAGGTCAATGTGAATGTTAGGTCCACCATAGAACTTCTCCCTCCGTTTGCAAAAAAGGTTCTTACTTTGACTTGGATCCAAAATAAGGAAGTGTAAAATTATACTCCCTCGTCCCTAAATAAACTTTCCCTTTTGTTTTTTCTTTGTCCCCAAATAAACTTCTCTGTTCTCTAAAAAAAGCCTTTTTTTCCCCTTACTTTTTCATACCATATATATCACATCATACCTTTTTACTAATAATCTACATATCACATCTTACTTTTACACATCACATCAAGGGTATTTTTGGAAAGTCTATACAAAAGTATCCCTCTCTTAAATCCTTAAAAAGTCAAAAAGGAAAGTTTATTTAGGGACGGAGGGAGTAGTTGACTTCCAAATTTGCCCCTGATGTGATGGGTAAAAGTAAGATGTGATGGATTGATTATTAGAGAAAAAGTATGATATGATAGGTAGGGTATGAAAAAGTAAGGGTAAAAATGGTTTTTTAATAGAAAGTGGAAGTGTTTTGTTGGAAATGGAAAGAATGAAAGAGGAAGTGTTTTTGAGAACGGAGAAAGTACTTCATTCAATTACAAACTAGATTATTTATCATGCATGCCGAACTTGTTGGTAACCTTCTTTGAAAAAAAATACATTAAAGAATTACAAGTTACAACCATATCACAAATGACAAATCATGATATTTTTGTGAAATAAACGAATTTCCGTATTAAACAAGTTAATATCACAAAATGAGCTCAACCAACAAATAACTAAGAGAATATTACGTACAAGTGTGATCCATATATAACACCAAATAGAAATTTATCATTTACTACCTCCGTCCCAAAAAGATTTACATCTTTCAAAAAAATTGTGTCCCACAATCTCCTACCCATTTCTATTAAAAAATCACTTTTACCCCTTACTTTTTCAAACTCTATCTATCACATCATACATTTTTACTAATAATCTACACATCATATCCTACTTTTACCCATCACGTCAAGGATATTTTTGGAAAGTCAACACAAAATTATCCCTCCCTTAATTTTAACTTTAGTCAAAACGTGTAAATCTTTTTGAGACGGATGGAGTAATACATTGATTGTTGTGATCATATTTGACATGGTATTTACCCAATCTTTATTATGATGTATGTACAAGTTTTTTTAAATTATAAAAATAAAAGTAAGAAAAAAAATCACTTACACCGGTGCTAAGAAGACAAAGAATGATACAATATTACCTGCAAATGAAAAACATAAAATCTTCATCAACACCAACTTAATTAACCATAGTACATATATACTAAATCCGAAATATTAAGGTGTTGTTTGAACATAACGTTTTAAATTAACGTCATTGTTTTGTCTATCTCTCAATGGGTCGGGAATAGATTTATAACACTTCTGAAAACTTTTTTAAAGCTAAACAGTATCGTTGGATAATTTTTCCAAAATGTTAAAGATCGATGTCACCGGCGAGATGCACTTAAAACACTCGTTATTAAAACCATGGGTTAATTAGTGAGAATTAATTAAAGAAGACTTACCAAGGATTCCAAACACAAAGACCCAAGGGTGGTGAAGATCAAAGAGAGCCATTATGTCTTTATATATAATTATACGGATTAGTGATGGTTAATCACTATTTGTTAGGAGCTAGCTAGCTAGCTAGCTTAGGATATATATATATATGTGTTGAACAAAGAAATAAAAGATAATTATTACTACTTGGTATAAATATATATTTTATGCTCCTAAATTGATAATAAGCACCAATTAATAATTTCTAGGAGAAAGGGAGAAAGAATGAAGAAAGCAAGAAACGTGTGAAGAAGGGAGAAGAGAAACCCTTTCTCTCTGTCTCTCACTCTCTCTTATTCTTTCCTTCTCTCACTAGAATGTGTGTGAAGACAACCTTAGTGTTAGGTTGGTATTTATAGTGCAACAATTGATCTAAGATTTAATTTGTTGTGACGACGATGTAAGAGAAAAGATTTCTTGTGGACGACGTTGAGGCTAATTATAGGCTTAATTATCGGTGCCGTACCATACAATCATTCGACCCGCCCATCCCAGTTGCGGATGGTCCGAGAGAAACGTGTACTAAGTGTGTTTGATACTTTGTTCGGCAATAGTAACTCTATTTAATTCTAACACAAACACACATAGATACAAAATATCTAGGTAAATGTAACATTTTTCAACAAAGATCGTTATATGTAAATACTGAAACTGTTACTAAACCGGCACATAGTATATACTCCCTTCGTTCTCAAAAACACTTCTTCTTTCATTCTTTTCACTTCCAACAAAAACACTTCCACTTTCTACGGAGTATTAAAAAATTACTTTTACCCTTACTTTTTTATACCCTACATATCACATTATACTTTTTCTCTAATAATCTATCCATCACACTTTACTTTTACCCATCACAACAAACACAAAATTAGAAGTCGACTACAATTTAACACTCCTTTATTTTTACACTTGGTCAAAATATGAACTCTTTTTTAGAACAAAGCGGCTATGTAGGTTGTTGAAGACATGTAAAAGTCTATTACATGTATTACAAAGATATATATATACACACACACATATATTTAAGTGCAAGTATATTATTTGCATTAGCCTAGAAAGTAATTAACTTAAAAGTGCAAGTAATTAATTCAAAATACTTCCTCCATCTAGGAATTTCTTTCCCGCGTTAACTTGACACGCTTATTAAAGAATAGTAAAAAAAGTGTCAAATTTTCAAAAATGCATATACTATAAATTTTAAATCTCCTTTTCGTATTCAAAAAGCAATAAAATAATAGATTAGTTATAAAATAAAAAGGTATAAATGAATTTTTCTTTAAAAAATATATTAAAAAAGTTAATGAGAAAAATATTTTAAGATGATGAAAAACAAATTAAATAATGGAGGAGAGGCGCGCGGGGCGAGGGGGGACTCACAATAATAATATCGTCAGGTGCTGCTCACATGATCCATCCATCCCTCACATCATCCATCCATCTGCATGAAAATTGCACCACTCTACAAATGAACTACTATCCCCTCCCTAAAATTTCTCCTTTTTTTTCATCTGTCTCGAAAAACAATTTTTATTTTTATTAAAAAAATCACTTTTATTACTTATTTTTTTATACCTTAACTATTACATCATAACTTTTACTATCACATCAAAGGACATTTTTGGTAATTCAATACTAAAATACACTCTCTTTAAATCTCTTCAAAATCAAAATATCTCATGTTTAATTACCTGAGAAATAATTCTCATCATGGCCTAATTTGTGTTCATGTTTATATTTTATCTCAAATTCCAAATATTTTTTGGAATATAATACTCCTTCCGTCACTGAAAATCTTTCTCCTTTCCTTTTTCATCCGTCCCAAAAAACACTTATTATTTCTATTCAAAAGTTACTTTTATCCCTTACTTTTTATTACTATACCTATCATATCATACCTTTTTTACTAATAATCTACTTATCAAATCCTACTTTTACTCATCACATCAAAAGACTTTTTTGGAAATTCAATACCAAAATACACTGTTCTCAAATCTGTTAAAAATCAATAACTCTCATGTTTTTAGGACCGGAAGGAGCATAATAAATTTTGCCTTTCCATAATTTAAGACATCCTTTTTGCTAATCATATGCATTCCGATTTGTTTTTTTTAATTGTGATTTGTTAAGTTTGATGATTGATTATTATTATTATTATTATTATTAGGTGTATTTCTTTTTTTTTCTTTTGGTGGTCCCGCACACGCAACACCAATTGTTACGCACATTTGTTCGCAAAACATCTTTTTCCTGCCATTTTAGGAGTTTTTTTCTCCAATTAAGTTTCTTTTATGAATGTCACATTTTCAATACTTGAGCTACTATTTGAAGACACATGTTTCTAATATATATCAGCTGATAAATGGAATTGTAGTGATTGTAGAAACTAAACTAACAAATCTCTTCTGACTCTACTAGACAACCCTGTATTTGTCTAATAAAATAAAAAATATGTGATCGATAATCCTTTTATTTTTTTCTAAACAAATTTCAAGAACTAATTTTTCTAATTTTGAGGAACAAATAATTATTTTAGGAGAGATGAAGTAAATAACCACTATATTCAACGAATTGTTACACAAATTTTATACTATATAGATACAAAACGTGTCTCATTATTGTTTTGTAAGGCAAACACAATTTAATTGTGACATAGACGAATTATGTCTTGTCGTAGAAATATCTCCCTCGGTCCAAAAAAACTCTTTCACGTTTCAAAAAGATGTTGTCTCACAATTTTCATTTCATTTTATTAAAAAACTATTTTTACCCCTTACTTTTGCATGCTATGTCTATCACATCATACCTTGTTCTTAATAATCTACACATCGCATCTTATTTTTACTCATCACATCAAAGATATTTTTTGAAAATCAACACAAAATTATTCATCCCTTATTTTACCACTTTAGTTAATATGTCATCGGGCCTGTTTGAGAATAGCGTTAGAAATTAACATTAGCGTTTTGGATAAAATTTTAACGGTCCACATTATTTTGAAAACGTTAACGTTAAACGCTGTCCTTAGATAGTCTTTTCAAAACGCTAACGCTAATAGCTATCCCAAACAAGCTCATCCTCTTTTTGGGACAGAAGGAGTATCTCGTATATATTTCACATTTGAATTATGCTCCCATTAAGTACTGTATAAATTTTGGTGGGCTTAATTGATGATGTAATAACAGTACGAATATATTTATTTATTGATATGGTACTTGGTAGTGTCCATAGAAGAAGGGCACAAATCTAATTACCTGCGATGCCCGAAACTCATTTCATTTACTTATATATATGTGCAATAACTCCTGAGGTGGATAGATTCTATATATATATATATATATATATATATATATATATATATATATATATATATATATATATATATATATATATATATATATATATATATATATATATATATATATATATATATATATATATATATATATATATATATATATATATATATATATATATATATATA